GTAATATGTCCTAACCCTTGTACATGGTACAACGCTCCATGCAAACGTTCCGCACAGGCTCGTTACCTGTACAGGTCCCTCATCGTTACTTATATAGGTTGCTCCACCGTTTCGTGCTATAGCAACGCTGGGTGTTTACTTGCATCAGTTGCCATTACACAAACTCTGATGGCATGTTACTTGTAATCCGATGTTTTTCGTGTCCCTGTGTTTCTGCCTGCTGTAAGAGGCTAAAGCACTCGGAAGTAGCCCAAGTGCTAGCAAATGCCAATAGCAACCACTCGTTGGTAAAACAATCGATAGCTCCCTCTTTCCAAGAGCTGGTTGCAAGCAAGTTGATGGCGAGTTTGACTCCCTAGCATATGCTAGTATCAATTTATCATTGTGAAACGAATAGAAGATCGTATAAGGATTATTTGCCTCACAAGGGAGTCGAACCCTCAACCTACTAATGCTGTAGAAAAATTACCCGTTCTTTGGCGCGAGCAGTTTGTTTTCGGAGTTGCTTGCCGAACAGGTCGCTCATCTCCTCGTAGCACCAGAAACGAAATTATCCTAAAAACTGACTATGATTTTCTGAGCCATTTTTTTTCCGGAACCGCAAAAAATCGTCGAAAATCGATGGACATAGGTGGAACGATTCAAGGAGTACAAACATTTTCATTACATCTGTGGGGCAATTAAACACCGAATACAGCCGCACAAGCACAACCGGTAATGTTAGTCATCAGAGCTACAGCACTGGTCTCTGAGCCACCTCACTGACTCCACACAGCACCAACACCCAGAAAAACTGGCCAACGGACCAACAAGAAACAGAGAGAATGTTATAAGCGTAGTACAAAATGAAATAATTGGCCAACGCACGGGCTGCCCGTGCGAAGATGCGTTTTTTGCATAGTTCCCCGCAAATTTTTGTCACTAACGGCACTGGTTTTTCCGGCAAATGCTTCTCGCTAAAAGAATTTCGGACTGGCCGCCAGGAGTGTCAGGAAACATCCCTTCAAAATTCCAGTCTTCTAGCTTCTCAAGTTCCAGAGTCAGCAACTTACCCGAAAGAAACCTTCACGAGCCCGTACAAGGCACCACGCTCACCCGCTGGCAGGGTATGAGCTCGTTAATACCCGCTCGGAAGGGGAACACCACCCCAAGACTTCAGCGTTCTAGCTTCTCAGATCCCCGAGTTATGAACTTACCCCAAAAAAACTTTGACAAGCCCGTACGTAGGTACCACGCGGGTAATGGCCTCCATTTTGGGGCCCGTACGTGCATGTAGATTAAGTTCCCAAAGTTTCAGCCCAGCAGCCTTTATAGGTCTTGAGATGAAAAATCGGGACAGACGCACACACAGAGACACGAACACACAGACAACCTCTCGTCAGTATGCGCTTTTGCATTGCATAGCTGCAAAAAACGCATAAAAATTGAAAAAAAAATCATTTTACTCAACGATGTAACAATGTTCAAAATGTTTGAAAAAAAATAATGAAAAATCCATTTTATTCAAATAGTATAAAAAATAGGCTATATCAGCAACGGATGAAAGAAGAGGAAGAGTGAAACAAGGTAGGAGATGAGAATTACAAAAATTTGTAAATTACAAAAATAATTTTAATGGTAAAAAATGTTTCGGTAAATGTTATGCAATGTTATAAAACGATAATAACGAAAATATACGGTTTTTTTTCCTTATTTTCATTTGCGTGCACAAATCTTATACGATCTAAACTTTTATTTATAAAAATTGAAAAAAAAAATTAATTTTATTCAACAATACAGCAATGTTCAAAATATTTTATATGACAACAACGAAAATAAAAGATTTTTTTTTTATTATTCTCATTTTTTCATGCAAATTTTAAATGACCTAAGCTTTTATCTATAAAAATTGAAAAAAAAAAGTTAATTTTACTCAACAACACAGCAATGTTCAAAATTTTTAACGCGGTAATAACAAAAATACGGGATTTTTTTTCTTGTTTTTATTTATTCGCGTAAATTTCATACGATCAAAACACTAAAAAAACCATCTTACTCAACAGCGCAACAACAATTAAAATGTTTTATAAAAATGAAAATACAAGATTTTTTTTTTCTTATTTTCATTCATTTGCGCGACTTTTGCATGACCTGAAATTATATTTATAAAAATTGAAAAAAAAAAAGCTCATTTTACTCAACAATAAAGCAGTGTTCAAAATGTTTTATATTTTTTTTTTAACGAAAATATAAAATTTTTTTTTCTTATTTTCATTTGTTCACGTAAATTTTAAATGACCTGAACTTTTATTTATAAAAATTGAAAAAATCATTTTACTCAACAGCGCTACAATGTTCAAAATGTCTTATACAATAATAACGAAAATACAAGATTTTTTTTTTATTCATTTATTCGCGTAAATTTTATGCGACCTAAATTTTTATTTATAAAAGTTGAAAAAAAAATTCATGTTATTCAATAGCGCAGCAATGTTCAAAATGTTTTAGACGATAATAACGAGAATACAAGAATTTCCTTTCGTATTTTCATATGACCTAAACTTTTGTTTGATCTGAATATTGACCTGCTTATTCGATCTGTTTACTTGTTCTGCACACAGACGTTTAAATAAACAGCCCTTGAAAAACGAAAATTTATTGAACAAGTTAAACGAGGAAGGGAGAGAATTTGGTTATCCGAGCCTTTTAGGGATTCAGAACCACTCATTCTTTTCAAGCAACTTCCAATCTGACTAAAGCATATCCGGAAACTACAGACCGAAGAACAAATGCTAAACATAGCCACCCAGAGCAGTTATCCACTGCAATGATGAAGCTAATGGACTCGAAATCCGCAAAAATCTGATGCGATGCATCCATCGGCAAAGAAAAAAGAAGCAAAATTGTTCAGCCACTGATCAGCCGAAAGATAACATTTCTCAACTATACATAAGATCAAAAGTTTCTATACATATAATTTTTCAATTATTAAAAGTAGCGAAATCTGATGGTCAGAGTATGTTGCTGGCCATGTTAATAACCGGCGAATAAATAAATGAAAAATAAAAAAATTAAAAATCAAAGATTAAAATGTAGACAAAACTGGAAAAATAAAAATTGAGAATGAAACGGTACATACTGTGAATACTGTACAAAAGAAATTAGATGCCAATAACCAGTGGATAAATGAATAAATAAAAATAAAAAATTTGAAAAAAATAAAAATTAAGGTGTACTTAAGACTGGAAAAACAAAAATCGATATTTAAGTAATAAATATTATCCATGCACTTTAAAAAATTAGAAATACAAAATTTAATTAAAACAGCTAAACAGGAATGTTTCAGTCCATCTGAGAGGCATTAAACGACAACCGCGAGAGAAATAAATAACCACTTGGACATGCATTGAAGAGGTAATTCAGTGAAAAATCGGTAAGTACTAACTGGAGGTATGCAGTTCCGGATTGAACGGCCTGGTGCTGCTGCTCCCAACGTGTAGAGGGGATTCATCCCAAAATGATGATCACATCGACTGCTAGGGTGGTGGATTCGGTACTCTTGGTGCGCATATTACATGTATATATATGTGCATATATAATTTGTTTATTCGACCAATTGTTTAGTTTCTATTCCATTCATTTGTTTATCTACTTCCCATTTTATTTGCGCATTTGTTTACTTATTTATTTACTTGCTTATTTACTTGTTTACCTGCTCACCTGCCTATTTTCGCATCTATTTGCTTGTTTATTTACTTATTTACTGTCTCATTTGTTTGCTTATTTACCTATTTGTTTTTTTATTTATTCGTTTGTTTACGTCTTGTCCACTTTATTTGTTTACTGCCCCTGTTTGCTTATTTATTTAGTTGTTTATTTATTTACTTGATTACCTATTTGCTTATCTACTCATTTATTTATCTATTTATTTATATATCAACTTATTTATGCCAAGAATTTTCCCAACCACATACATATATATATATATTTACACTACGAATTTTTCCAACTATATATAGTCTCAAAAATTATACACATAAACATATATACATATATAAATACATATAGAACGGAAGACTTATGTACTAAAAAATGCGTTTTTCTGATCAGCCACCGCTGGATTTTCCTACATACCTTACTGGCATAGAAGTAATCAATGAGATTAAGAGACTTGGTGCACACAACCGCAGACACGAACCCATGGATTTGTACTATGCTAGACCTGTGATGATGCTGCGTGAATTTTTACAACGCTCACAACAAATTCGCCCTGAACGTCAGCTGCTTGTTATTGTTAGGAAACATTGTGCAATGCACCGCTGCTGA